CTGCCATAGCTGTATACATTTTGTTTAGATTTATAGTTAATTCAGTCATTTCATTTTGCAAGGCATGCATTTCTACATCAGAATCTTTCTCACGTTCCTTCTTATCTACACTTGATTCATCTGCATGCAGATTCTCTGAACTCATTTTGAAAATCACAAAATAACTACAACTTCAAGAAAAAAAAAAAAAAAAATGTAAACAGTATTATTCAATCTCTCTTCTCTCAGTACATTAGGCTGAAATCAATTTGATCATATCCCACACTAGCTGCCACCAATATATAGCGCCCACCCTTTTCTATTACATCTTAGCAAAGACCTTATTACTTCTCTTTGCTCTGGGAACCACTCAGACTTTATCCAGAGGGGCACTATCTGTTAATACAAGTGTGTGGTTTCTCCAAAAGTACTCTTTAGAACCCACACTAAAATATATATATTCATACAGGTTACTTATGATCTAATTTCAGCCTTAGAGGTAACTGAGAGAAGGGGATAATATCAAACCACTTAATAAGTTTACACTTGTTGTTGATATATTGAGTTAAAGATCATTACCTTTCTACAGTAAAATAAACTTTCATCTACAAAAAAAAAAAAAAAAAAAATGTCCAAATGGTTGTACTCCAACCTGTCACTTTTATTCTTCTGGTTCTTCTCAGGTGTCTTCTTTCCTTGTCTTCATCAATGTCCTTGGCTCTTTCATTCTGGTTCACAGCCCCAGGGACGCATAAATCACAACTTCAGAAGAACCAAACAAACCATAAAAAAAACACAAAACAAAAAACAAAACAAAACAAAAAAATATATATATATTGTTTTCTTCACAAAAATATCAATTAGAAAATCTAGAAAAATAATTAAGTACCTTTTTCTCACATAATTAAAGCTAAAAACTGAGGTATACTTAAATAATACATATGCATAAAGACTAAATGAGGTGTATACAGGGGGGTTTCCAGACGAATTTTGGGTCATTCTAAATTCACATCCCTTGTGCTCGTTACAGGTGCACCAAAGTTGAGCTGTGTTGGGTACACAGGATCTATGAGGCGAACTGTAGATTATTTTCGCATGCTTCTCATATACTCCCTGATACCTTATATACTTCCTGATACCTCATATACTCCCTGATACCTCTTATACTTCCTGATACCTTTTATATTCCTCATACCTTATATATTCCTTATACCTCATATACTGCCTGATACCTTATATATATGTCTTGATACCTTATATACTTCCTGATACCTTATATATTTCCTAATACTTTATATATTCCCTATACCTTATATACTTCTTGATAACTCATATACTGCCAGATACCTTATATACTACTTGATACCTTATATACTTCCTGATGCCTTATATACTCCTTATACCTTATATACTTCCTCATACCTTATACACTCATTGAAACCTTCACTGAGAGCGAATCTTCCGTGATTTAGGCACGAAGTGGCACTAGTCTCTCTGCTGGTTGGTCGCTTGCTTCTCGTATTTTAAAGTCTGTATTTCATTATCACCAGGTGGTTATTAGCACATTCCCCTCTTTATCTATGTTTGGAGACGGAGTAAAGCTGCCACCATGTTTAACATGTTGTTTTGATGCTCCATTTGAGGGGAAAAGGGGAATAAAATACGGAGCTCTGCTGAGCTACACGAGTATATGCTGGAGGAGTGTATGCATGCAATGTATATATAGGACATGTTACTAGTATTATAATATAAAGTAAATAGAACACATAATTGGAAGGAAGATAATTATGGTTGATTATATGACATATATACATATACATATACGGGGTTTCTCTATTAAGATAGTTTATTAGATGCTGCATTTCATCTACAGATTCACTGAAGAGAACAATATCATCTGCAAATCTTAGATTACTTAGGTATTCGTCCCCAATTTTAATACCCTTTCCGGTCCATTCTAGTTTCTTGAATATTTCCTCAAGACAACTTGGTAAAATCAAAAGCTTGGTCCTTCTACATAGGTACCGACATCTCCAAATGCTCTTGTTGATCGAGTTCATGGCTCCTGCTGTCAGACCAATCCGTCTACTGACTTCTTGGTCTGACAGCCCAGAGACATGAACTACGCTACCAAGGTATGTAAAGGTCTCTGTGACTTCAGTATCCTCACCGCAAGCATGGATCGTCTGAACGGGTTCCCCTAACAGGCCCCCAAAGTCCTGAATCTTGCACTTGGTCCAGGAGACCTCTAGGCCCAAAGGCTTGACCTCATTGTCGACTGCATCAAGAGACGCAGCCAATGATTTCAGGATTGCAACATCGTCGACAAAGTCAAGGTCTGTGACTTTGATATTGCCCAGTGTTGCTCCAAACTGGATAGTAGCTCCGCGAACATTATCCAGGTCATGCAGGTGTTGAAAAGTAATGGTGTAAGGACACAGCTTTGCCTCACTCCTGAATTAACAGGGAAGAAGTTCGAGAGGCTCCACTACACTTTACAGCACTTTCAGTACCAGTATATAGGCTTGCTATTTTAACCCAATAATCCGTGCTGGAAATCTCCTGTCTCAAAATCTCCCATATATATATATGCATATTGTAGTGGATAATCAAAACTCCGTAGAGTTAAAGATGTTAATTTGGTAGCGTGTTTATCCGACTACAGGTAATCTCCAATGGGTTTGGCGTATTTCGGAGATGACTCTCGGGTGATTTGAAAGTAATCCCGTAGTCACAATAAATGAGAACAATGAGAAGAACATCACTGGCTGACTAAAGAGGCAACATAAAAAGAGCATCCATATTATACATTTATTACGCACAAAACTTTCTGAACATAACCAATATACATGACAACACACCATACACTTACCTGATACACAGAGGCAACCCGCCACAGCACGAGAAGCACCAGTCAGCCAGCTAAAAATCCAACGATCTGTCACCACACAAGATAAAGCCTCTCCCTCTGACCGGCCTGACTTGCCCTTTTATGCTGGTGGCTTCCCGCGCTTGGTGAGGTTTTACCCATAATGCATTTCGTTTAATTTATTAAATAGTGCATGGTGAGTTCAAAATAATCTTTAAAATACATAAAATAAAAAGAATAATAAAACTATACAAAAATGGGCACATAAAAGAAATAATAGACAGGAAAGTATGAAAACGTGAAAGAAGGGATCCGTGAGGGAAAACGGGAAAACACGAAGAGAGAAACAGAACTAAGGTGAATTAGTCGAAGGGAAAAAAGCAAGAATAAGACAAGGTAAGTATGGAACATAAGGTAAGTACAAGTAGTGTTACGTATAGTAGAAGTAGTGTAGATGTAGATCACGGACCAAAGAAAGGTAAGTGAAAGAGTATAAAAACACAGATTTATTCTTATAAAAGACACAAGCAAATAAACACAGGAAAAAACAGGAAAACCACGTCATCTTGCAGGGCGGAGGAGTCCGTAGATTATCCATAGACATTCATAATCGTCAGGGGAACAGGCGTCCCGGAAGCCTGCGGGAGGACCCGCCTGAAGCCAAGGGAAATTCACTACAACTCCCTCCCCGCCTGACTTCGGACGACTCCCTCTCGGCCTCGACGCACACAGAACGGCCACTGCCTGCTTCTGAGGACCCTAGCATGCGGCCCGGTCCAGCCACTCTCGACTGAGCAGACAGGGTCAAGCAGCATCAGAGGGGCAAGCAGAGAGGTAACGAGAGGAGTCGGTCGAAGGCCACACCACCGGATCCACGGGTCGGAAGAACCAAACAGCACATGGTCAGCACGACTATCCACGACCCTCCGGAGGAGCGGCTCTACACACTGCGGATGGACTCAAAAGGACCGTAAAGCACAAGGAACATCGCACCTGCAAGAGACTGGAATTAGTGTATGGCATTTACTGTGTTCATCCTGTATAAAAGTAAAGTCCTGAAAGGAATGCCACTGATAAATCTATATATACGGATGCACGACCAGACAGGAAGAAGGGCAGCGAAGGACGAAAGCGAAGAAGGAAAAGGACGACGAACCATTGAGCAATCACTCCAAGGCTGAAAGAATAGGAAGGAGACAGAATAAACCAAAAAATGAAATAAGAACACTGGGCCCAAACATAAAATAAAATCACAAGATAAAATGAAACTTAAAATCAAATTAAATACAAAACTTAAAGAAATACAAAGGAACATAAAATACTTAATCAAACTTATTAAATTAAATACAAACTTAAAATTAAATACAAAACTTAAGAAATACAACTTAAAAGAATAAACTTAGAAGTAAAATTACAATTAATGGACTTAAAAATACAGCTTAAACATAAAAACTTAAAAGAAAACTTAAAAGCTACAAACTTAAGAATTATACAGATCCAAATTACATTTAAAATGAAGTACAAACTTGAAAATGAAAATGAAACATAAAAAGAGCGAGGAAGACCAACCACATGTTGGTAAAGTGTACATACATTATCATGGAATACAGAACCTATCATCTCGCCTTGGGCTGGAAGAATACAATTCAGATTAATACACAATACATCACATTGTTAATACGCACACCTGATGCACGAATTTTCAAACGCTAATTCATTTTCAGAGCACTTTCCAGAACTCACAACACTAAACACTGAGCACACAACACAAAACCTCTCACTGGCACAAGCCTTCAAGCAAAAGCAAAGAGGGAGACCAATCTAGGCTAACCATCGTCAGGAGGTCGGCAAAAGGAGGCCAAGAGAGCAATTGCAGGATCCTCGTCCGGTTGTCCATCTAAAGGAGGAGGCTCGTCCACATCCTCATCCTCATCTAGCTCCGCATCATCTGGCAGGTGGAGTTCATCATTCGTCCTGTAAGGCCTCAGCTGATTGAGGTGGTAAATCTTCTCCTTGTAAGGAGGAGACAGTACTCTGACCAACCGTGTTACAGGACCGGTCTTCTTCAAAATACGAGCCGGACCAAACCAACGAGGTCCAAGAGCTCCACGTCGTCCTGCTCCTGCCATTCGAGGAAGGTCTTTAAAGAGTACTAAATCACCGACCTCAGCAGCAAAGGTGGACTTTCGGGTTCGCCGATTATAATCCCGGGCCCAACCTTCTCTGGCCTGCACTGACGTCTCAACGGCAATCTAGCCCTCCTTAACCTAGCAGCAAAAGACTGTGCTGCTTCATGATCAGTCTCCTCATAATTGCTATTGCCAACAGGATAGGTGCCAACATGTCCAGTCAGCAAGTAGAGAGGTTGATCACCCACTGAGCGGTGTATTGCACTGTCCATGGCAAAACGAACATATGGCAAAAGTTCATCCCATTCTAAGGGAGATGCTTCCAAAAGTGTTGCCAAGGCATTCTTCACCACTCGGTTGGTGCGTTCAATCATCCCATTAGCCTGGGGATGGAAAGCTGTAGTGAAAATTGTTTCAACACTGGCTAACTCACAAATCCTCTTAAATAAATTGTTTTTAAATTCTCGGCCATTGTCTGTTTGCAATAGACGAGGTGGCCCAAACACAGTCACAAACTGATTAATAAAAGCATCATCCAGTCTCTGCATCCTTGGATGGCAAAGGAATCAACTGGACGTATCGGGTGAGTTGGTCTATGAAAGCCAATACGTATTTATTATCTTGGGAGGTCACTTCCAGTTCCATAAGGTCTGCAAACTACTACATCCTGTGGCGCAGCAGCAAGAGGAACACGATAAGCCATACCCTTACGTTTCTGGCAAGATCGACACGTACCAACGTATTCTTTCACTGCCGCCAACATGTTAGGGAAGTAAAAGTAATCCCTGAGCTTACAATATGTCCTGTAAACCCCAGGGTGGCCTGCTGTTGCACTTGAATGAGCCTCTAAGTCTTTTTGGCACAACCAACTGATGGAGCACTCGATCTGGGAGGTGACGGACATGGTACAGAACTCCATCTCGAAGCTCAAACTCTTCAAGACTAAGAGGAAGGCGACGACGTGGCAAAGCCCGTTCCTCTAAATATCCAATCACCTCTTTCCACAGGGGATCCTCGAGTTGGTGACGACGCAGATCGTCTGGATCACGCTTGTGCAATTCTGTTGCAGCCACTGCATGACTCAACTGGTCTGGGACACGATGTTGAGTTCCTTGTTTGTATTTCAGAACATAGTTATAAAAACTAAGTTCATGTGACCATCGAGTCATGCGCAAACTTTTGGTTTTCTTACTAAAAACATAGGTCAAAGGCCTATGGTCAGTATAAATGTAGAAGCGGCGTCCATACACATAGCAGTCGAAGGCTCTTACCCCCTCTACTACTGCAAGTGCCTCACAATCAATTGCAGGGTACCGTGTCTCAGCATCCCTGAGTTTGCGACTGAAGTAGGCAACAGGCTGCAAGCGACCCTCATCGTCACTTTGCATCAAACAGGCGCCGATTGCAACACCCGATGCATCGGTGTGAATCTCAAAAGGCCTCTCAAAATCTGGCTTACTAAGAACTGGGGCTGAGATAAGTGCCTTCTTTAAGTTCTGGAAAGCAGCATCCTCCTGCTGGCCCCAGACAAACTTGATATCCTTTCGTGTCAGGCTGGTAAGTGGTGATGCAATATTAGAATAGCCTTTAATATGCTTCCTAAAGAAGCCTGTGCAGCCGAGAAAGCGGCGCACTTCCTTCTGGTTCCTAGGCTGAGGCATCTTCTGTATTGCAACCACCTTATCTGGATCAGGTTCCACACCTTTAGGCGAGATCTTAAATCCCAGGAATTTAAATGTGTCTGTTGCAAAAAACACATTTCTTCCTGTTAAGCCTAAATCCTGCTTTTAAAAGGAGTGACAGAGTCTCATCTAAATGCCTAAGATGGTCACCAAAATTACTGCTGTGTACTACATCATCTAAATAGGCAATGGTGTGCTTGCCCAAAACAGATGAAAGCACGCAGTTAACAGCCCATTGAAATGTTGAAGGGGCTGTTGCCAACCCAAACGGCAGCTTCCTGAACTGGAAAAGTCGATGCCCGTCTGAGAAAGCGGTCTTTGGTCTATCATCTGGACTGACATCTACTGTCCAGTAGGCGCTGTGAGCATCCAGAGCAGTAAACCACATAGTACCATGCAGCTGATCAATGAGCTCATCAATGCGTGGCATTGGATAAGCATCCTGCTCTGTTATGCTGTTAAGACCTCTGTAGTCAATACAGAAACGGGTGGACCCATCTTTCTTTCTGACGAGAACGACCGGGGAATGCCAAGGAGAGGTGGAATGCTCAATAACGCCCTGTTCAAGCATACTGTCACATTCCTCTCTAATGAACCTTTTAGAGGCTTCCGGGAGACGCCACTGTCGCACACAAAGTGGACCTTCACCCTCCTTTGTCTTTATGGTATGGGAGATACCAGGTACAGATCCTAACTTCGCCTGTGCATCAAATAATGTCACATACTTAGCTAGTACCTGTCTCAGCTGCTGCTGCTGCCCAAGAGTGAGGTGGCCCAGATCAACCTCACTTAGCAGGTCACCAAGCTCAGCATCGCCCAGCTGAACTTTATCTTCAGGGCGATTAGCAGCTTCACCTGACTGCTCACTGCCAAGTGGTGTTTGTGTCACCATATTGCAAGGTGGGAGATCCACATCTGGCAGAATGATGTAGTCATCTGCACTCCCAAAATCACCAACAGCGTCAAAGCTGTCGAAGTCATCGTCAATGAATCCCTCACACAGTTCAGGATCACCATTATCACCCAAGAAGAGCTCAGCCCCTAAAGCTTGCTCTTCTACAGCATACTGGAAAGTTCCAGGAATGCTGGTCTTTCTCATCTCAGCACTTTTACTGCTCATGATTTTGGCTTTACTTGGCACTGCACTATTTAAAACAGTACCCTTGTACTCATATTAGCATTTTCACACTTCACACCACTGACACTGGCATTTTTCATAGTATCACAAACACTATCATCATCTACATATGTGCTTCCAGCTTCAAGTGAGAAGACCTGTACAATGTCTTCAACTAAAGCTAAACTATGTCCATTTCTTAGCTTTACAGGACGTGCAGTCTCATTTACTGCCCAGACTTTAATGCGGCCCTCTTTAACCTCTTGCAGAGTCCTAGGTACCACCAAGGGACACCCAATGCCAGAAACCATAAGTTCCTTGGCGGCTTGCATACCCCTAGGAACGCTACACTTAACAAAGCGCCCACTACGAGGCGGCACAAAAGCAGGAACAGCAACATGTGCTACCTGTGAAGCAGGTAGTGACCTTGACTGCTTGTGGAGTACTTCAACAAGCACAACTTGCAGTGACTGGGAATCAGAATACGAAATTGGGAATTTCTGACCTTGCAAAACCAACAAATCATCTTTACTGTGGTCAGAAAAACATTCGAGCCTGAAGTTAAAACGTCTGAGGAGATCCATGCCCAAAAGAACTTCTCCAGGAAAGGAAATGCCATCCAAGATCCACACTTTATGTTTAACACACACTCGCTCATTCACACTAAAATTCACCAAACTCTCACCCAGAACTGGAATAGTCTTTCCAGAAACTCCTTTCACTCGTTTAAAAGACTCTTTCTTACATCTTATACACATCTTTCCTGCAGCCATTCCCTTGACAATGGTCACCTCAGACCCTGTGTCGACAAAACACTTCGCCTTGTAACCATTGATTGTTAAATAAACCATAGGTCGACCTGAAGGCCTCTCAGGAATCTTACCCTCACAGTCAGTGGTTGACAGCACCTCTTTGCTCGCCAGTGACGGTGTCGCTGCCACGCCCGACCTGGCACGATACAAAGGGACACTGCCGTGCAAAGTGACCTGCCTCACCACATGCAAAGCACTTCCTCCTTGCACTCAACACACGACACTCTGAGCTATCATGTTCGTGGTTCTTATGGTAGCGACAATACCTCTGAGAAGGGTCTACCTCGGCCGCTGCAAGGGCTCGTGGTCGGAAAAGCGATCTAGCAGGAGGAGAGCTTACCCCAGGACCTTCACTTTCCCTGAGACTCCAAACTCTCTGGGTAGTCTCAACCAGGTTAGAGAGCTCTGCCTCTTCCTTTACCACAACTGCTTCTCTGATCCACCGAGGAAGTCCTTGCAAAAAGACCCGTCTGATGAGGTCATCTGGGTCACCAATAGCCCGAGGGTAATCCCGTACTCCCTGGTACACCATACCTTCCAAGGTTAAATAAAAATCCATGGGTGCTTGCCCAGGCTGTAGCTTCTCACTATAAAAATCAGAGGAAGTACCAGTTCCCCTGAATTTCTGCCTCAGTTTGTCTTTAAATACAACCCAGGACACAATATTCTCAAAAAGAGGCGAATTTATTATCAACTCTGCCGCACCCTTGCATGAGGCCTTTGCGGCTTTAATAAAAGCTGCATCGGTCTGAGGTCGAGTGTGATTCTCAACACTTCGAAGCCAGCTCTCGACCTCTTGGTTCCGTTTAAGGGGGTGGGCAGAACTAACCCTCCGCCTTAAACTGAGGAATTGGATCCCTCTGCACAACGAACTCAACAGGAGGTGCTTCCCTGACAGAAACGGGAGTCGAGTGACGAGATATACGAGCTTCTAGCTCACTATTCTGCTGACGCAGACTCTGGACCTCCAGTGTGAGCTGGGAGATCTTTTGGAAAAGCTCTTCCATCACCGAAAGTTCTGGAAGTCTCTCGATGCCTCGGCCTTCCGAGTCTGGCAGGAGAGCTTGCCCTGAAGGGGAGTTACCTCCTAACGAAGGAGCAGAAGCCGCTTCCTGGCTCGTCGAAGGGCGGGAAGGACTATTGTTACGACTTCCGCCGTTCCTTCGACCCATGGCTCGTGTCTGAATTGTGCTTACTTTGACGAAAATATAGCACAGCAACTTCAACTCCAAGACACCTAGGACACCCACAGCAAGTCTACAGGAGTACGGTACTATCCTATAACTCACAAGAACATACGAGTACTTATGCAGCTAAATAAAACAATCGTAAGGCAATAACAGATTCATGCGATCAAAATCACAAACTTCAGATGCACATTAATCTTCGCATTGTACACTCGCACAGAAAGAGGCAAAACACTCATAAAAACACTCGCTTAAACTCGCTAAAACAGACGTAAAATTAATTGAAGAAATATTGGCTTAAAACACTCATTAAAACATACATAAAACTCATTCATAAAACACTTCTAAAACACCCATGCGCGCAAGCATAAAACATCCGCCATAAAACTCACTATAACAGACAAAACACGCAGATAGTCATTCACTTAAAGATTCACTAAAAACAGGCATAAAACACGTATCAAAGCACTTGCATAAAACTCAATAAAAACAACCATAAAACACGTATCAAAGCACTTGCATAAAACTCACTAAAACAACCATAAACCACGTGTCAAAATACTTGCATAAAACTCACTAAAACAACCATAAAACACGTATCAAAGCACTTGCATAAACTCACAAAAACAACCATAAAACACGTATCAAAGCACTTGCATAAACTCACTAAAACAACCATAAAACACGTATCAAAGCACTTGCATAAAACTCACTAAAACAACCATAAAACACGTATCGAAACGCTTGCATAAACTCACTAAAATAAACATCCATAAACCTTCAGAGACATCCTGAAATAATCACAAAACATATACACAGTCGAAAAAAAATCAATCCTAACACGAAACAATCATAAAACAGCCCAAATAAAACCCCGTAAACTGCGTGACCTGCGAGTAACTCTTCAATACAAACTTACACGCAGTCACAAAAGGCAAACAGCGAATTCCTAAAACAATCAGGAA